TCAAATGAAAATTGCAGAAGTAGCGCAAATGAGCAAATATGAAAAATAATTTGACAAAAGGCTGCAGAAGACGAGGATTACAAGAGTAATAGACACTGTGAGGTCTTTAACTGGTATACCTTCAACGCTAGCAGTGCCCATTTAACACTAAATTTTTTAGTATAAAATTTTTTAATTTAATTTTTTTTTTACAAAATACTATTTTATAAAGCAATATAAAAGTTGTCCCAAACTAAATCTTAGGGGCTTCTTTGAGATAGCTTTTTTATTAATTTACTTTTCAGACGATAATTATAATTTTTGTTTGACCACTTTTTTTTCGTTCTTTAAAAAAAAAATATACTAAGAGTTTTAAAAATTAATTTCCCTACAACAGCTTTACAAAACGGTCCCAAAGGAAGTCTTAGCCGCACATAACAAAAAAAATTATATTATATATTTACATATTTAACATATAAATTTGACATTGACATATATACCTATCAAATATTTAATGATATAAAAAATACCATCAATATTAAAATTTTTAAAGTGCATTTTATATCTTTATATATACATTTTGATGTGATTGAGTCACTAAAATATTTTACATATAAATATTAATTTTTATATATTAGATATATACAACAATAACAACAACATGAAGCCTTTGTCCCACTACGTGGGGTCGGCTACATGAATCCTTTTTCACCATTGTGTCTGGTTAAAAGTCAAAATCTCATTTAATTCTAATAAAGAAAAATCATTTATAATATTTTCTAACCAAGCCTTTTTAGATCCACCTTTACCTTTCTTAATATAAGTCAAATCTAATACCTCATCAACTTTCCTAAGCAGGTCATCGGAAGGCCTCCGTTTAATGTGACCAAACCATCTAATCTTATCTTCCATTGGAGCTACTCCAACCTTTTCACGTATATGCTCAATTCGTATCCTATCTCTAAGGGTCAAGCCATTCATCCACCTAAGCATCCTCATCTCTGCAACACTTAACTTAGTATTATGATTCTCTTTTAATGGCCAACATTAGACACCATAAAGCATTGCAGGTCTCACCACCATCTTATAGAATATTTCCTTAAGTTTGAGGGGATTTTCTATCGTATAACAAGTCCGATGCATTCCTCCACTTCAACCATCCAACTTGAATTCTGCTTATAATATCCCCATCTATTTTACCACCACTATGAACACTAGATCCAAGATATCTAAAACGTGTACTCTTATTAATGACTTGATTGCCCAAAGTCACAATCCCTCACTAGGTCTATTGCTACTAAAACTACACTCCATATATTCAGTTTTAGATCCACTCAAGTGAAAACCTTTAGACTCTAAGGTTGACCTTCATAATTCAAGTTTACCTTCAACTTCCTCGATCTCTAGTCTTATCAACAACAAGAATATCATATGCAAAAAGCATACACCAAGGTACATCCTCTTGCAAATGTCTAATGAGAACATCCATGACTAAAGCAAAAAAATATGGACTTAAGGCTAATCCTTGATGTAATCAAACCAAAATAGGAAAATACTTAGTCAAACCACCTTGTGTTTGAACACAAGTAATAGCTCCTGCATACATATCTTTAATGATTTGAATATAAGTATTATTAACTCCTTTCTTTTCAAGAACTCTCCATAGCATTTCTCTTGGAACTTTATCATAAATATCATATGAAGATCCTCCTTATTCTCTCTATATTTCTCCATCAAACCTCTCAATAAATGTATGGCTTCCATAGTAGACCTACCTTCTATGAATCCAAATTGATTTTGAGAAACATTAGTATCACACAACAACCTACGCTCCATAACTCGCTCCCATAGCTTTAAAGTATGACACAATAACTTAATTCCTCTATAATTCATACACTCATGTGTATCACCTTTATTCTTAAAAATATGAATTAACACAATCATTCTGCACTAATCTAGAAACTTTTTAGTCTTTAAAATAGTATTAAAAAGTTTAGTAAGCCAAGAAATTCATTAATCTCTTAAGCATTTCGATCCACATCACTATTGAAATATCATTAGGCCCATTAGCTTTTCCACACTTCATTTTCTTCAAAGCCTCTATAACTTCGATTTTACTTATACGCCGATACAAACAAAAATATTTATTTTCATTTAGGGTGATAAAGTTACTAAACACAATCATATTTTCACATTCTTCATTAAAAAGTTTAGCAAAATATCTCATCCATCTTTTTGAAAATCATCTTCTAAAAAAAGTACTTTTTGATCTTCATCCTTAATACACTTCACTTGAACTAAATCTTTATTACTCCTATCATTTTATTTGGCTAACTTATACATATGTTTTTCTCCCTCATTAGTATCTAATCTAATATATAAGTCATTAAAAGCTAAGCTCTTTACATAGCAAATAACTTTATTAGATTTCTTTAGTGCCCCTTTAGAGAAGCCTAAGGGAGCCTAAGTGTAATGCATAATATCTTTATTAACCAACAAAAGCTTCTATGATTCTATAAATACAAATCAATCTAGTAAAATTAAAAATTATATATATCAAAATACAAAATTATATTTATTCCTCAAAATTCGTATACAATAGCAAATAGTTCAATCCATTCATTATTAGTTTATCTTTTAACTCTTTAGTACAGAAGAATAAAACTAAAAGAAATGCAGAAACAAAATAAAAACATAAATATTATATCTATCCTCACTCCACAGGATCCTGATCTATTCTTAAAAAATATATAAAATCATAGAGTGAGCTGACAGCTCAATATGTTACAAAAATTTATAACTAAAATAAATGCAAGGTAATATAGATAGTATGCATAAAATCCTTCAATCACTATAAATATGAATATATTACTTTAAAAGTTTGTGATTATTAATGAACAATAACATATCATGTGATCAAGAAATATCAATACAATTAGAGTTGTCATCAGTAACTAAAAGAGGTTAGTTTATTCTATTATTTCTATACCCATTTGGTAAGAACAAATTTATCTATCTCAATTCAAAAAATATGTATACCTATCATAATTAAATGTTTGTTGTATAGTGTCTATGTTATGCATGTATATCATATAAATTATGTGGTTTATAAATATCAAATGTCTTTATATCAATTTTATTAGTTTTATTAAATATTTGCATTAGTCAAAGTCTATATCTTATATAAATTATATTATGTCAACTATGCAATTTATCATATATATCCTTATCAAGCTATTTGTAGTGTTTTTTTTATATCCACTCATGTAGGCCAATCCTATAGAAAGTAGTCTCAATCACAAGTCATTTAAGTCAGATAACTTTCATATTAGAAGTCATCTCTTCCTACCTATCGACATATCATATAATATCAATATGTCTCCTTATGCCTTCATTTTATAATATTATTTTAAAGAAAATCATATCGACCCACTCTCCTATCACTACAGAAAAATCGCTCGTTACCGGCATATTTTTCTGGTGGACTATTTTCCAACGACTTTTCCAATGTATTTCCGGTGGAATATGTTTGACTAATTTTTCTACAACTTTGGTTCCGGCGACATTTCTAGCGGCTTTTCCATTGGATTTTAATTCGTATATTTTATATAAAAAATGTGACGTTTAAACACTTTTGCCCTTCCAACAAACTGGTTGGGTTTTTGAAATCATACTCACTTTGAATCCCAACACATGAGGGCAACGCGATCGACCAGGTTGGCGAGCAGGGCATCGAACAGCCTGGCGAGCAGCGAGCAGCTAGGCGGGTAGTACGAGAGGGCAGCGAGCAGACGCGCTGGCGGGCAGGGTAGCGGGTGGCACAAGAGGTCAACTGACCGCCTAATTTTTTAATTATTTTTTCTTAATTTATGGCGGGATTATTCTATCGGAAAGTCGCTGGAAATTTTTTTTTGTCGAAAATTAGCCACCGGATTGTTTTTTCCTACACGACTTTTACTGGTGAAAAATATATCCTTCGGAAAGCCGACATGAATCTTAATTTTGCAGGAAAAATTCGTTGGTATTTTCCTGTAATATGTACAAGATAACATGTCTCCACCACCATGGATCAATAAATCATATATAGCCAACCTTTCTTACATATAAATATTTTACATCATATATAATAAAATAAACAAATAATAGCATATTTAATGTTCAGTTCACTATTTCATCTTAATGCATATAAAATTTACATATGAACCAAAATTAGTGAAATTTATAAGAAGATATTGTGCTCTTTTTCACATGTATGTGTCTATAATAGTCACATTATAATAATTATGCATGTCATATGCACATATAAAATGATTTTAATAACTATCTAACAAATTTTTAAATTTATCCAAATTACTTAAATTAGAATATTTTTCCCAAATATAAAAATGCTTAGTGAAAATTTTATATATTCCTGTCAAAATGCCCATATTAACGACATCTATCATATACTAAAAGTTATGAGGTGAAACTTTTACCAATACAAAATTATACTCATTTTTCGATAGTGAAAATACAAATTTAAATGGAAAAATCTACAAAATAACTAATTATTGAAATAAAAATAGGATAATGTTTCATTACTTGATTCGATACATCCGTAATTCAATGGTCTGTTATTAATTTTATGTTAAATAAAAAATTAAGCATATTTAAAACTGAGCGAGTCTCATATTAGCTCATATTAAGCACACCATCATTAGACATAGTCTAATCATGATCAAATATTATAGAAACCTTATCTGAAGCATGTATAAAAACCTATGTGAAATTAGAGCACATGTTAAAAACTATATATAGTTATATATATTTAGATATAAAATATTATGTAATTAAATATAATTTTTTTGGCAGACATTTAAATTTACGTTTTTATTGGGAATATTGTAGACATTTAAATCTACATTTAAATTTACGATTTAAATTTACGTTTAAATCTACCGAAAAGAAAAACAGTACCTTCTGTCACTTTCCCCTCGTTAAACTGCGTGGAACCTGGCCTGGATCGACTTCCTCTTTATATACACGTCGTCGCCATCGTTGCCAACGTTTGCTCTTCTTCAGCCTGCGAGATGGACACAGGAAAACCTGCAGGAGCTACTAGCGACGGCGAACAAAAGCTTCGAAAGCTCCGAAAGGTCGTAGGCTCCGACGAGCCTCCTCTTGAACCGGAAAGCTTCGCGCGCAGGTCTAATCGCCGATTCTTTTGCTATTTTACTCTTCCTATCCGTTATCGTCTGAGTCGAGTAATGGTTCCTAGCAGTTACCAGCTCGAAGCGCTTGAGAAGGCAAAAAAAGAAAATACAATAATCTTCCTGGATACAGGGGCTGGAAAGACGCTCATTGCTGTGATGCTGCTGCGATCCTACGCTCATTGCATCAGAAAACCCTCGAAATACATCGCAGTCTTTTTGGTGCCAACAGTGGTTTTGGTTCAGCAAGTAATCTCGGACCTCTTATATTTTCATCTGTTTCTTTTTTTGAGTTCTTTTCACCTATTTTTGAACTGATTTTGAAAAGCAAGCAGAGGTGCTGGAGCTCCATACCGATCTAAAAGTCGGCAGATTCTGGGGTGAAATGGGTGTTGATTTCTGGAATCTCAATACGTGGATGGAGAAGTTGGAGATGTTTGAGGTTCGAGCATCTTTGTTAATATCCGCGCTTGTTTTCGAAGTCCCTTTTCTTCGTGTTATTAGAACAATTCACACGTGAATTTTGATTTTCTAGTGATGAGGATAAGTTTTCTGTAGAGTTAGGAGATTCACCATATCTACATCTCATTGACAAAAAAAGAAAATTTTAACATCAACTCCTTAGGAAAGAGAAGGAAACACAATTTTTTTTTTTAAAAAAAGTAAGGAAACACAATTTTTAAAATTCCAAATGAAGAGTGACCAGAAATACAATAATAAGGCATATGGTACGTTTATTTGAGAAGGAAAGGAAGTATGAGGCAGATCTTTTTTGACATTCTTTGAATTGATATTTCAAAAATGTAAAGTTCACTTTTTCCTTAACAAGTCCAATTTTCTACCGTATCTCCTACTTGTGAAATACACATCAAGTGAAAAAAAAGTTTACTTTGCAATTCATATCATGGGTAAGTTTTTGAATGAATACATGGTTAGTAGTATTTCTCCTTAATTCAATTCACTCGTGCAAATATATTAAATGAGCACCTTCCTATTACGGATGCATGGATTTTCATACTAATTTAAGAAATGTTCTGTTAAAGTTTCATAAATTCTTAGTCAGTATCTGATGACCATTTCAAATTTCCCTTGCAGGTCTTTGTTATGACACCTCAGATTTTACTCAACAACCTTCGCCATACTTTTTTTAAGCTAGAGCAGATAAAGTTGTTAGTATTTGATGAATGTCATCATGCAAGAGGAAAAGACCCTTATGCATGTATTATGATGGTAAGGCCATTTTAACTTATTCTACATTTTGTCCCTTTGTTTCAATTTTCTCTGCATAACTGACTTCATTGGATGACACAAATATGTGTAAACTAGAATCTGTATGTTTGAAGACCAGTTTTTTTTAATTGGCACACGCATCATTCGGAAATTACATCAATCAATTATTGGCTTATCATTCTGGTGCTTCAAATCAGATTCTATATTCAATTGTAGCTTAATTATGTTTGGGATGTTGAGTGCCAATTATTCAAGGATGGGTGCCGAAGCTCCAACCATCAGAATGGTGTGAGGATGACTCTTGTTATTAATTGATCATTGGATAGCCTATTTGGTTATTTAAACTAGTACGTTTCACCTAGAGTGTTCTGGCTTGTTGTATGCACTATTCATTGGGTAATGGTGAAAAGTTTAATCTAAATCAAACATTTTTAGATATTCCAATTTTTTGGGGATGCCATAACTTGCTAAGTTAACAAAAAGGAACTTTCTAGAACATGTGTTTGTATATGTTTTGGAGATTTAGGTTTCGTTTAGGACAACTTTTGACTACTATTTTTTTACCGCTTTCAAGAAATTTTTATATTAAAAAGCTTCTATAAAAAATAGTAAGAAACTTGTCTCAAATGAAGCCTTAAGCTCATTTTAATGCATAGTACTCATTTGGTGCAAAACTAATAAGATGTTTTTATTGTTTGCCAACAAATGTCCTACAGTTGAGATATATGTCTCACATTTAGTATGATTCATGACAAAAGTCTCATATTTAGTATGATGTATCTTAGACTGGAAACTGTGAGCGTCGTAAATTTTTTTTAGTTGTTATTTGAAGTGCAAAATTATAAAATAGTCTTAACTTAATCTTTCAATAGTATTTCTCAGAATGCTTTCTATATTGATCTCGTTTTATTAATTTTGCTTGTCAAAGGTGGTGTTTGGAAGCTCCACTCTATTGTTCTTTTAAATGATTTTTATTTTGCACTTTCAGGAGTTCTATCATCCACACATACGGTCAAGTTCAATTAATGTTCCTAGAATACTTGGAATGACTGCCTCAATCACGAACACGAAAGGTACTTTGATTTATACAAGTGTCTTTCGTAAGTCCTCGGTTTCCTTGGCGGTTTTTATGAGGTATTATAAACTTTATTTTTTATTTTATTCACAGTCATCCCTTTTAAAATGCTTTGGTAGGTTCAAACTCACCAGCCGACTATGGAAAGCAGATCAGTGATCTGGAGAATCTTATGCATTCAAAGGTTAAAAGATATCTTTTCTGTAATTGTATGCATATAATGCTGTTTTTTAAGAGTTTCAGGAGATAAAAAATTTAAACATCTATAAATTACCACGGCAGTTCTCTTAGGCTTCATTTGATACGGCTTTCTTACTACTTCTTGAAGCAACTTTTTAATACAAAAATTAAAAAGCTATTTTAAGTAGTAAGAAAGCATTCCCAAATGAAGCCTTATTGTCAGTTGGCAGTACTTCTTGCTTTTTTTGTTTGCATTTCTCATCTTTATCTCGTTTCTAGTTTCACTGAAATTTGAACCTCTTATTCCTTATTTGCAGAACTAAAAATATTAGTTAGGGCCTTGGTTTTGACTTTCCAGTATCTTGAACCATATCTAACAGATTAAGCTTATAAATGAAAGAATTAGAATAATTAGGGAACAAGTATGGTGGAGTACTCCATTGCTTCAAATAGCCAAAAATAAGACATATCAATAGGTGCTTACAGATGTCTAAATATGGAAGAAATAAACAATACTACTACGAATGGAACTTTTGATTATTTTATCAAGAATTGATGTAAAAAACACTAGATATAATTAGAATCCCTATAAATTAGTCACCTAATTGCACCGCATCTGCAGTTTTGTATGTAACCTGAAACCGCAAGGTTGTAGGGCCATAATTTACCATCACTGGAAGGGGTGGCATGCTATCCTTGCACCCGCTAATGCGAAAATCATAATAAATTACTGTGATTGGGCTTGAATTTTGATGCATATTTGAATTGAAAACTTTCAAGATTAGTTTTAAGACCATTTAAACTCCAATTTTTGCAAAATTATAGTTAAATTGAACGTCTCAACACGACGAACCTAACACCGCCAAAAGTGATTTGAGCATAGATCAAGCACTTGAAGCGCAATAAAAAATTTTAGGACATTAATTAGATGATTAAATGATCTCAAGATCTTGCATGCTTCTAATAGAATCAAGCGTATTGATGTGATGAATCCAACAAGCCCGTGGTCGCATTATTCCAATATCATTAAGGATCCTAAATGTTTAAGAAACTGCTTATATTTGATGGAATCAATATGCACGACCTCATTGAGATTTTTGAGTTATCTTTATATTTATGGTGCCGAACTTCCCTTGGCTCTAAGAATTTCATAGCTCCAGTTGAGCACCAGCATTGGGTCACCATCATATTGTCATAACTATTATTTAACTGTCATTATTAACCACCTCCTGTTGACTATAAAAAAAAATAAATAAATGAGAAGAAACTTTGAATCAATGTGAAGAAAAGCAACTGCCTCCATCGGCCCCATCTCGCCAAAACGACATATCTCTTCGCACAATAACTGTTTACTTCAAGATAAAAGGGAGAAAGAGAGAACGAAAAAAAAAACTTAGGCTCGTTCGTTTTGCTCCTTCGACTCCATCGTTACTGTTCGACTTCATTGCTTTGGGAGGAGTCTAGGGTCGACCTTTCATCTTCTCCTTTCGTCGTTGCTGATTCGGTTCCGTCGCATCGCAGGAGGAGAATAGATTGCACACGCCGCTTCTCTGACTCCCCATCGTCATTTGACTTCGCTCTTCGGCTCCTTCGGTGTCGTCCGGCTTCTTTCCTTCTCAAGAGGTACAGAGATTGCACGCATTGCCCCTCCACTTCCTTCGTTGCCGTTCGACTTTGCTTCGTGTGGCTCTCTCCTTGCCGTCCGTCTTCATTGCTTCGTGGGAGGAGTAGAGATTGCACGGGTTGCTCCTTTGGCTCTCGTGGTTGTCCGATTCTCCCTCCCTAACCCGTGCTCCTCTCTCCCTCTCTTATATTATATATAAATATATAATAATATAATTATTATATATTATATTATAATATATTGTTATATATAAATATAATTAAATTAAAATAATATTATATTAAAAAAATATATTTATATAAAATATAAAAAGAAGTGAAGATTGAATTTTAAATAGGTGTCGAAGACCCGGGGCCGTCGTACTTTAAGTTCGGCCGGGATGGTTTAAAATTCGAAGACTTGCACCGTGATCTCAGATCCGGGCGGATGGTTTTAAATTTGAAGCCCCCGCGCCATTGATCTTAGATCTGGGCGAGATGAAACAAAATTCGAAGATCCCACGTAGTTGATCTTAGATCATGGTGGGATGGTTTATATTCGAAGGCCCCACGCTGTTGACCTTTGGTAGGAAGAAATTTCGGCAAACTGCCGCCCCGATTTCTCCCTCGGTGGGGAGGTGAAGCCGGGAGGTTGCCGAAATTTTCTGATAATTCAATTTGAATTCAATTAAAATATTAAAATCAATTTTTTAAATGTTAATTAACTAATCTAGTTAATTAATATTTAATTAATTTTTTTATTGATTAAATTAATCAAAATAATTGATTAATTTTGGAACGACTAAAATCATAGATGAAATTTCTGAATGAATTCGAGACAGGTGTATAACTCAATATACATCATCATCATCTTTTTAATAACGAATGCTCTTAATCCCTTTATACTTGTACTTGTGACAAGTAAGAATGAAAATTACGCTGCTTCTCATCTTTCTCCTAAATGCCAGTCAACATAAGTGAGAGCTTATTGGATATCATCTCAGACCAATGACTACTTTTGAAATGCCGCGAATGTCTCTAAATGAGACATCTCTTTAAAAAAATTTCAATAAAAATAAAATTGAATAGAGTTTGAATTTTTGTGGCATTTCAAATACCATATCTCCTTGAAACATTTGAGATCTCTAATCTTCAAAACATCACCTCTCTCCCTCTAGTTATTGAGGTAGCAAAGATCGTGATAAATCATTTCAAAACTGAGTTAATTATATAAAATTCAGTAGCTATTTAAAATATAAAAGCATTTCAAATTTGAAAAAAATTTGAAATTCTAAAAAATTTTAAAATTTGATAGTTATTTAAATTTTGAGAGCAGTGGAATTTAGAATTGATTTATTGGTTAATTATTTAATTAATCAAATAAGAAATTTTAAATAAAAAATTGCAATAAAGAAAAGAAGAGAGTGTTTCCAATAATCAGAATTATACAAACTCTAAACACAATTCTCACAAATTCTCAACACAATCCTCACAAACTCTCAACACTCATTGACTCCAACATCTTGCAAGCTCTCTAAAGTCCCTCCTGTACGAGCTTCTACTACTATCTTTGGGCACTATCCTCTGCAATTGCTTGCCTTGACTATGAACACCTGCAAACAAACAAATGAAGAGTCAATATATCATAATAAATTGAATGAATGTTGATAAATCTAGCTACTGCAGGTATAATAGAGTACTCGAAAACAAGAAAAAGCTAAGTACGAAAAGCTAGTAGAGTAACCATGCTGAAAAAAAAAAAAGGTAAAGAAGTGAACTACTGTAGTAGAAAAAAGGCTACGAGCAGAACAACTAAAACACTAACCTAATGTCAAAACTCCAAAGTGTCAAAATCACAAACTCAAACCAACCCAACAAATAAATAATCAAATTCAATACCTTTGGGTAGCCTTGCTTATAAGAAATTGGTTGTAAGACCCACTACCCGACAACTTTCATAGGAAAGTCATAAGTCCGACCTCTGAGGAAAAAATGTTTAGGTGATAATACAACCCTAGACCCCTCACTCGGGCATCCTAGCCTATAGGGTTAGGTTGCAAGACCCACTAACGGGCTACTTTATACAAAAGCTATAAGTCACAATTTAAATCAAATACTTGGATTACTTTCTACGAAAGTTGTAAATCCCAATCTAAATTTAAATCTTCGGGCAGCCTAGTTTATAAGGCTTGGTTGTAAGACCCACATCTCGGGCCACTTAGCTTAAGGTTCTAAGTCATAAGACCCATTGTTAGGCAACTTCCAACGAAGTACTAAGACCTACCCAATTAGAAATCTTTGGGCTACCTTAGCAGAGGCCGTAATCTAATCATATGAAATAACTTTTGTTGAAAAATCAAGGCAAAAGCCTCAAGAAAGAATTTCATCTCTATATAATATTTTGAAGTATAATAATTATAATTCCTATATTCAAAGCATATGGAATTTCTATCATAGGATTTCCTACCCAAGTAATTAAAACCTTCGGACATCTTAGCCTATAGGGCTAAGTTGTAAGACCCGTTATTTGGGCAACTTCTCAGTGAAGTCTAAGATCCATGTTTTAAGAAAGTTGTTAAAGAAATATCAATGATTCTAAGCCTCAAACAATCAAATTTTAACATATGGGCATCTTAGTCTAAAAAGATTAAGTTGTAAGACCCGCTTTTCAGGCTACTTCCTAAGGGAAGCCATAAGTCCTACCCAAATAATTTAACATATGGGCTACTTCCTCCGGGAGATGAGCCAACACCGCCCAATCACTTGATCATCTCCCAATTGTTGTCATCAGAACATTGCTTGATCAACATCTTCTCACTATCGTTGCTTGACTACATTTCTTCAACCACTGTTGTTTGACTATGGTCCTTTGGATCATCTCCCGATTGTTGCACCCAGTCTTAATATACTCATTTTCTCTTCTTGAGTGGGGATGATGATTATTATGAGATTTCTTTTTCCACTTGTGTTCTTGGAGAGCTTGTGAGCTTATGTGAGAGTTGAAGTCCCTAGGTGAGGGCAACAAAATACCCACCAGCCGCAGGAAGTGTCCGGGCTCGTGGTCTTCTTCCTCCACCATCTTCTTCCTCCTCTTCTCTAATCGTCCCTCCCCTTCCTCTAAGAAGCCAGCCATCTACCCCCCTTCCTCTAAGAAGCCAGCCATCTACCCCCCTTCCCTCAAAATCCCGTCGGGTACCACCATCCTCCTCCTTCCAAACTGCCGGCTCTGAGCCCCAACAACGCCGGCCCTAACCCCACCTAGCCCAAGCCCCACCATCTCCCTCGCTGGCCTTGCCCTCCAAACCCTAGCCAATGGTCGTCCCTTTCGCTCCTAGATTTTCAACTTACCCAAAATATTTCGTTATTAACTTGGAAGGTTTTTGAATTCAAATTCAAATAAATTTGAATTTCAAATTCTTTCCTAAATGATATAACTTATTTTAGGAAAGTCCCCAATTAGTGCAAATCTGAAATTAAATAGAATTTGATTTTAAATCCGCATTCAACATATGTGGACGCATTCAACATATGTGTACACATTCAATGTATGTGGACACATTCAACGTATGAGAACTCCTTCCCTTTTTTTCCTCCTTTTGGTCGGCCCCCCCTCTCCCTCTCTCTTTAATTGCTTCCTTCGTAATTGGGAGCTACAATTAAGGAGTCAATTGGCCGCCCCCTTCACTTTTTTCTCTCTTTCTCTCTTTCAGTTTAGGGAAATTAAGATTAAGTTCCCTAATTATCTCATCATCAAATTTGAATTTGAACTAAAGCCTTCTCCTAGCCTTGGCCGACCACCCAAGTCCCTCCATCTTCCCTATGCCTCGTTTCCTAGGCTTGGTACTTCACCTAAGGAAGTAGAAACAAAACCTCTCTCTGCCTCCTTACTCATAAATGGCTGATCCTGAACAAGATCACGACTTCGTATTCAACGACCAAGGGTCCATCGATATCCTCTGGTCACCGTTCTTCGATATCGACTTTGCAAACGACCAATCTGTTGAAGACTACGTAGAGAGGATCATCTTCTCCCTTGTCATCGCCATCGACCAACAACACCCTCCCGTCCAGTGACGACTAACTTTCGAATATTGACAACGGTGAACTCTCCTCCAAGTCTTTTCTCTTTTAAGTTTTTCCTTAATTGTGACATCATAAAGATTGTGTAAACTTTCTCCGCAAGCCAATTTATTAAGAGTATGAGTGAGTGGACCCAACTTGTGACTAGTCTAAATGTTAATTTAGGGTTTTCCTTTGAAAATCCCCCATGTTATGCTAAGATTGATTGAATTGATTAATGTTATGATCCTAAACGATTATCATGTAATTTGGCCTAAGCTACATCATCCCTTTTATTGTATTTAATATTCGTTTAATTTGCTAAAAGTTAGAATAATTATTGTTGCTCTAATCTAAGTCATTTAATTTCAACATTGGATATTTACGTACGCATATAGTTCTACATCAATTACCTATGCTAACATATGTCATCACATATAAAATCGATGTATGTTATCAACATCAACCTTGCTTTCCAATGTACGCTATCGACATCAACATTATGATTTATGCTGGATTTCTTTATTTTTGGTCTCCTCAAAGGAGTATGGCCAAATATACATTAAGTGTTCTCTTGAATACAATTCCTATACCATTGAGTTTTTCTAACTTTTGCCATGAAATGTATTATGTACAACTTTTGTTTATTATATTGTATCAACACCTTTCCTAATCACTATGTAAAAAAGGGAATCATTTGTAATTGATGATAAACACTAGTGAAATCATTTTAGCTCGGCCAAACATTTGTGTTCTTCTCTTTTTGGGCTTTTCATGTAACAATTATAGTGTCTATTACAACTCTTATCTTATTTGTGTGTGCTAAATCTTTATACAAAACTATGATGTTAAATTCTTTCTCTCTGTGAATGTTTTGATCTGCTACAAATTTCATTATTTTTATCATGTTTTAGTTTGTTAAATGAATCTCATAGTACACTTCATGAACTTCTTCCAGCATGTTGTTGAGCCCATTGATGCCTTCTTCTTGCAAGTACATGCATGATTTCCTCTTTTTTTTGCATGTCGTTGGACTCATGAAGGCTTCCTTTAGTGAGCCCCCACACAAATTTCTTTCTCCCCCACACTGCGTAGATTTTATGTCTTTTCGAATGAGGTTCTATGCAATTTTTTTGTTTCTTTTATTGTCGAGGACTTCAAAAGTGTTTGTTGGAGTAGGGGGGAGAGAGAGAGACAAATTTGACTATATGTCACATAAAGCACGTAATTGAAGAAATATCCCATATGTTTATTTTTTGTAGAAATATGGTGGATGTTGGTCTCAAACTAAGTTACTCATATTGTATGCATGGCAAACTTCATATTGAAATCCATCGCCAACAAAAATAATTTCAATTGATCCGAATTCAAACTTTATTCCAATACAAAGGTATTTGTAAATAATTTCATAAATTTCTTTTCCAACAAAACAAAAATAGTCATATATCGTTTATTGGACATATAGCTGATTCCACATGCTAGTTCACCCTAGCGCGCACCAGCCACCTTTGCTCCTTCCGCATGCACGCCCCTGCGTCAAAACCAACTGCAAGTCTAGTTCGCACGTTGCCTACTCTATCTTCACTACATAGCACCCACCACGATCTCACGTCGAGGCGCACGAAGCGCCATGTCATGACATCGCTCTAACTCCACTCTTCTAGTTTGCAACCCGCAATCCCCGATAAGTGCGCTCTCTTGCTTTATTATGTTGAAAACTTCACCCGCCTGCTTAAATCCCGCATATGAAGAGCAGAGGAGAAGAAGAATAAGGGGCTGTTTGCCAACAAATAGAATTTTAATTTAGTAGGATTTAGTAAATTATGGAAATCCGAATTTAGTAAATGCTCGGTATGTTAAATCATGTAGTAGATTGAGATCTCTAGTATTCCAAGGATGACAAAATCATAAGTTCTTGATCGGGTCTACCTTCATCACCTACAAAAATATCCCATTTATCCAAATATATCTCAAATCACTAATTTTTAAGTTAAAACTATTCTTAATTGAGAGTGCTCTTCCACAAGTGGAAGGGCTAATTAATATTGAGGGTTTGTGTCATAGGAAGTTGAAACTCCAGATTTAGATAAACCCTGATATAAACATTTGGGGAAATATGATTAATTAAAATTAATTTACCTCATGAAGAATGGAATCCTAACCTAGTAGGTTGGGGTTGAGCCTCATTTTTTCTGAGCGAGCAACAACTTACTCCTATCCCATTGTCAGAAATGAAGCTCACTTCTTCTTCCTCCTACCAATCCCATATCTTTCAACAACCTCAATAGTAGACCAATTCACCTCCTCTTTTTTCTCTTCCACGCAAATTCTTTCTCACTTTCTTACCAAAAATCTTCTCTTCCTCATGGTCCCTACTCCTGACTCGTGTTTTCTCTCATTTGGCTTAATTGGACAGAGCGAATTGGAGTTCTCTCGCGAGGAGTCGCTGATTTCTTCTTACTATTGCATTGTTTCATTCATTCACGTGATTTGTGTTTTCCTGCTCGTCCGCAAGCCCTTGCGTGCTGGTGCTCACCCATTCGCCTGCTACTCGCTTGCGCTCGCGGGCTACTCACATGTGCTCGCCCGCTACTCACATGCGCTTACCCGCTGCTTGTTTTAGTTGCTGATTGTTTAAATTAAGGGATCGGTTCGATTGAACCTGTCCAGCCGATTCTGACATCAACGGACCAAAAAGTTTGAGAAGTACTTTCATCAGATGTTTATTGCATAGAAAAGAACATATTGCGGTAACTTTCTCTTAATGCATGCTTTTGAACTTAAACTTGATCTTATGAATTTTTTCTTAGTTTTATTTATTTAAATGGCTGCTTTTAATTTCTGTAGGTCTATACCGTTGCAAATGAATCAGTCCTGGCAGACTACATATCATTTCCTAATGCTAGGATTAAGCAATATAATCACCTGGACATTCCAGATAAACTAAGCCTTCTTTTCGTCCATCTAGAAGCCTTAAAAGTGAAGGTATGTCTCACTTTTTCTTTTTATATGTTCATTATTAACTTCAAACACACAACCGCACTTGATAAGAGTCCATGAGTAATTTGTTGTGTTATCTTATTCTTTGTGATACTTTTTGTATTCTGCCAATCTGTTTGACTGCTTTACGTGCCTCTTATGAAATTAACAACTTCTGACCGATGAATATTTATTGTTAGTAATTTGTAGATTTTTGGAATAATTTACTGTTTATAATACTTCTTTGGCCCCAAATTTATTTGGTTCTCAATACTAGTGCCTGTATAAAGCTATTTGCTTGTAATTCCTTTTCCAAGTGAGAGATGTGCTGACTTTAACATGGCTTTCTTATTTATAATGCTTCTTTGTGGTTTTATTCCTAAGCATTTTGTAAATCTCTCCAATGTGCTGGAACTAGTTTGTTTGTTATTATTATGTGGATTATTCTTTTAAAGTTTATTCACTTAATGATTTAGGATCAACCTATTTAATCATGAACTGAAGTAAGAACCAATGAAGTATATATATATATATATATATATATGCTTTTTCTTATGACCAGACAAACCGAAAGTGAAAATGTTGTGATTATATCTTTTCCTTGTATCTGGTTCGTGCCAATAAATGTTTTATGAATGGAAAGCGGTACTGTCATGCCCAAAAAATGAAAACCAGGTTAAAATTGCATCTCTTTTCACATGAATAGTTCAACCAAGCTAACTAACCAACCAACCACCTGTGTTGATTTCAAGGATTTTAAACTCGGTTTCAATTTTGCTTCGATCACAGAAGTTTTATTTCATTTGTTACAGTGGTTAAGTGTTTATTTTCAATCAGTTTTATTTTGAAGTTTTTAAAGTTTAGAAATAATTTTTTTTTTCAAAAATTATTATTTTTGATTAATTTTGAAACTGCAAGTCTTATATTTTTGGATGAGCTTTTTGTCAAGTATTAATGCTTTCTATTTTTTTGGTGGTTCTATCTTAATTTTCATAGTTTTTGGACTGTGATACGCCTTGGAGTCAATTTCAACAAACACAACAGAAAATTCACAAAGAATCAATTAAAAAAATAGCTAATTTTGGAGGAAATGGTGGCTGATTTTTATTAATAAATCAACAAAAAACAAAGATACAAGAGATCTACAATTAGGGAGGTAGATCGTCTCTTTCAATCAACTTAGACCCCACAAGGAAGCCCTCACAGAAAAAACACTAAAGTAGAAAATTCAATAAAACATGAATGAAGAAAAATAACCCTAGAACCATCCTTAAATAAACTCTGAAATTTTCTCAAAGACAAATTTATTTCCTTATTAATTTCCTCCTTTAATTTGAATATAATTAGGAAATATTTTCCTCTGATTTGGATTCAATTAGGAAATCTTTCCCTCTTTAATCTGAATTCAATTAGAATTTTTTTCCTAATTAATCCTCCCTTTAATTCCTTTCCTAACATATTGAATTAATTCTTTATTGGGCCAAAATTTCTCTTTTGGATCCTGTTGACGTATCAATACTCTGTTCCTCGAATTGTTTCTTATCCTCTTGGTGGAAGGATGACAACTATCTCCTGATTGTTTCATAGGGTTACTAACTTACTATGTAGCTTCATAGTCTGGTAAATCCTTCCATCGACAAGGACCTCCTTTGGTCTCGGTGTCCCTTGTCATGCTCCCTTGATCTCCATTGATTCCAAAATCACTTCCATGTCCTCAGATAAAGTCGCCGATAGTGAGGAAGAGGGTGTGTGATCTCTAATAATGCGTTTCAGTTGTGATACATGGAATATTGGATGGATAGATGACGCTGTTGGTAACCTCGAACAATAGGCTACTTCCAATATGCTCCATCACCTCGTAAGGACTGAAGTATTGTGGGGATAACTTCTCATTCTTTCTCTTGGCCAGTGCCTTCTGCTTATATGGTCTTAGTTTCATATAAAATTTATTCCCAGGCTCGAACTGCACTTCCTGTTTGTGTTTTTATTTACCATCTTTTTCATAAATTGTTGAGCCCTTAATAGATGCCCTTTTGAGTTTTGCTAGTATCTTGTCCTCTTCTCCAAGTATTGATCTACACTGGATACTGGTGATGTAAAACCCGAAAACCTTGAATCGTAACGTAACGACCCTTTGCGACGCACTGCGACAAAAATAGTCAAATTTTCAAAGTTGTTTGATTTCGCCGAAATAAATTTTATAAAATTGCACCTTTAATTTCGAGCAATTCGATATAAATAACTTATGATAAATTTTGCACGGTTTAGGAGATAAAAATCGCCGAAGTTTATTAAAATGCAAGTTACTTAATAACCCCTCATGTTCTTATTAAAACTAAGGTATGCATGGGTGTATGAGTATTTTGGCTTTACCTCCAACCACCCAAGGCTTTAAGGGACTGAATAGTTCGGTCCCTTCTCATTGTTTTGTTCGGCTGAAGGAAGAAGAGGGAAAGGGCGACGACGGCCAAGCTTTGGGTTTGCGACGACCGCGGTTTCCGGCGAGGATCTTAAAGGAAATCAAAGGGGAGACTTAAGGAAGAGAAAGGGTAAGTTCTTAAACCTAGAAATCCTCTTATTCTCTTAGATTTCTTGAAGTGAAAAGTTACCGTTTTTTAAAAACTTGAAATTTTGGAAGGAGAATGATAGGGAATGTAGGAGGAAGGATTTTAGCATAAAAATAAAGTTTTTCGCAATTTTTATTGTGTTTAAAAAATAGTGTTTTTCAAAATTTTGGATTCTTAAGAAAAATTCCTTAACGATTATTGTCCCTAGTTGCTTAAGAATATTTTTTATGAAAGAAATTATGTTTTCTCGCAAAATTTTAATTTTCTTAATTTATAATTCAAATAAATCCGAAAATACATTAACCGTAATTATTAATTAGGTGAAGGGGAAGTTTTGGCCTGATTATAGGATGAAAATAGTGAAATTATTATTTTGAAAATTTAGTTTTAAGAAAAAATCCGAAAATAAAATTAAATTTAATTTACATTAGGAAAAGGGATATTATTAAAATAGAAAAATTGTGAATTTAATCAATAATATGAATTTTTAAAAATTAGGTTTTAATTAAATCCGAAAATAATTAATATTAAAATATTAATTATATGAAAATGCATTATCTTTAATTAGTAATAAAGATGTTCATTATTTTAGGTGTTGGATATTGGGAAAGATACACGCCATAATCATAAACGACGTATTTTACTCGTAGAAGGTTTAATTGCTGCTTATTGAGATATGTACTTGTATTTTTGTTAATTTTCATGTTTCTGATTCTTTAATTTTTATTAAAGAATGCATATGTTTTAAACATTTTATTCAGTTGAAAAGTTGTATATTAGTTTTTTTCATATTTTATTACAGCAAGAAAGATAGACTATATAACATATTTCTTTTAATTGTTTTGAGATATTTACTTATATTACTGTTAATTTTCATGCCAAACCCTTTCAGGTAAAAGCTAAAGGTTGCAGTAACCCTTTTGGTGTTATTAAGGTATTTATGCCTTTGACACACATCGCACCTTGCCATCATGTCGTCCACATCCCATTGCATTCCCACCCAATAAAGCTCAGTGGATAGTCCGCTGTATGTCTTTTGGACTCCTGAATGCCCCCCTATCGCATTACAATATAATTCCTGTAATATCTTGGGAATGTAACTTGAGGACCATGGGAGTACAAACCTCCCTTGGTAGAGTAGCTGGTCCCCCTTTATAGCATAACCACTGTGACTATTGGTGCCCTTCAACAATTCTTCCCTAATCTTCCTCAATCCTTTATTCTGCTCGCTCTCCCTCAATGCATCACAGTCTAAGATCATCAATAGTGACAAGGCTGCCAATTGTGACTCCCAAGCCCTCCTAAACAAGACATTTGCTGTTTTATTTTCTAAGCTCGGTCGGTACTGTATCTCAAATTCATATCTAAGCAATTTGGATAGCCATCTCTAATGCTCCTCCGTAAACCTCCGATGTTCCAACAAATACTTCAGACTCCGCTGGTCTATCCTGGCTATAAAATGTATCCCCAACTAATAAGGTCACAACTTCTGAATTGTCAAGACAATCACCATCAGCTCCTATTCGTATATTGATTTGAGCCTTGCACTGGCTGTGAGTACTTGGCTGAAATATGCAATTAGTCTTGCATGAGTACTGCTCCTAACCCATAACTCGAGGCATCTACCTCCACCACAAATGATCTTTTAAAATTTGGGATTGCCAAGTACATGTACATTGGTTATAGCTGTCTTTAGCTCATGGAATGCTCAAGTTGCTTCCTCCCCCCTCACTTGAAGTTATCTTTCTTTAGCTGCTCTGTCAGAGGTCTTGTTATGGTGATGTATTCCTTCACAAACTTCTTGTAGTAACCGATGAAGCCCAAGAACTCCCGTAGCTCCCTTAAGTTCTTAGGAAGAGGCCATTCCACCATGGCCTGAATCTTGGACTGGTCGGTATAAACTCCCTGTTTGGATGTCACATGTCTTGGATACTCCTGTAATTTCCCAAACGTGCACTTTTTCCATTTGGAAAACAACTTATGCTCCCTCAAGGTCTCCATCATTGTCTCAAGTGCTCCCCATGTTCTGCCTCTGTCATGCTGTATGGTAAAATGTCATCAAAAAATACCATGACAAACTTTTCGAGATATGGCTGGAACACTCGATTCATAAGTGACTGGAAAGTAGCAGTGGCATTGGTGTCACACCCCAGTTTGACTCATTCTCTACCACCAACTGGAGTATAACAGAGAAAGATTTCAACATCACAAACTCCACACTTAATAATAGGAAGCATATAATATACCTTATTGAACCTTAACATAATTAAAATAAATACAGAGCTCTATTAAAACTTTTAAAATCCTTTCACATACCCAATAGTCTTTACAACTAGCATTCAGATCTCGTTTTAGATCTCTTTGCACTCCAAAACATATTTACATCAAAAGAAAGATCACCTCTTTTTTTTTGTCCCAAGGTCTTCTTTCCCTTATCTG